GTGTGCACCACCACGTCCAGAACCTTTTATGTGTTTAAGAGGAACATTTCCTTTTCTGTTCTTCATATAAAATGGAGTGCATAAAACTTTTTTTTTTCTTCCAGAACTGGGGATTGAACTCAGGCCCTTACGCTTGCCAGGGAAGCGCTTATTCCACTGAGCCCTCTCCCCAGCCCCCTAAACTCTTAAAAGTAGGTTAAATCAATTTTTTTTTTTTTTCAGAACCAGGGATTGAACTCAGGCCCTTGCGTTTGCCAGGGAAGTGCTTATTCCACTGAGCCGTCTCCCCAACCCTTTTAAATCACATTTTGAGCAAATCATTCTACTCAGCACCAACATTTTCATTTGCAGCATAGCCTTCACTCTCTGAGCCAGCTGTCACTGAACTCCAGGCAGGACCTGAAGCCCCAGTTCACCCCCATGCCAGCGAGGTGGAAAGACAGGGCTCTGCTGCCAGATGTGGTTCCTACCCTGTTGCACTGTGTAGCAGCTGCAGGCCCCCAGGGAGGGCATTGCGCCTCAGTTTGCTACTGTGAGGGAGCTCACGTTTGCATAGTAACTCACATTTTGCACAGATACTCTGTGTAAGCACTGGGGAAGTGGTACCAATTATCAGGAATAATCACCGCCTTTACCATTGCTGCTTCATGGGAGGCTCTTGCTAACTCATGACCCTCCCGCCTCAGCCTTCTAGTGTGCTGGGATCACAAGTGTGCGCCACCCCACCTGGATCATTTGTATTTTTTGTGGATGAAGGCATGGGAGCCTATGAAAAGATAAATAATGTAGAAGGCTGGAGCACAGGCCAGGATTGGTCAGCTCTCCAACTTGGAGCCCCGCCCCAGCCAGGGCGTGCTCAAGTGTATAAATGCGGACCACAGCCCATGGTGTCACCACACTTGGGGAAGAAATGTCTGTGTTAGGGGACAGAGATGGAGGTGGTGGCCAGAGGCAACCAACACACAGGGATTTGAAGATTAGGTAAGCACAGGGCAGCAGGAGGAAAAAGCCTGGCCTCACTTGGTGGTAAAAAGGGAGCAGAAGGCAATCGAAAAATCAACAAAACCAAACAGAAAACTAAACCACAAAAGGTTAAAAAGAGCTCTCAGGCTTTCACAGAGAGCACATTGGCCAAGAAATAGCCATGACTCATCCACATGGCTGACACTGACAAAGGATGTGCAAACTGCAGTACAGGTTACAGGATAAATCCTGAGGGGACCTGACTGACCTTATCAGATACAAAAGTTACATTTCCTGTTATATAGCTCTTGCTTTACCTTGGTCTTAACCATCCAGCAGAAAAGTATAAAAACAAGGTATAAAAACTTGTGAAAGGCTCAAGTCAACAACTTCTGACATTTCCAGTCCTATGGCTAACCCACTACTATTATGGATTACTGGACTATAATGGATTATTTTGCTGAATTCACGCACCTACAATATTTATATGGCAATGGAATGCCCATCTCTAACAAAACTAAACAAAAAAGGGGATATAAAGGAAGGACCATTTTGTATCTGTATATACAAAATAGGATAGATATACAGCTACTTTCTCTTAATTCAATGAGAAGAAAGATTTGTACTAATAGTGTTTGGACAAGATATCCTGTCTGCTTCTTATACTGTGGATAACCACTAAGAAGATAACAATGTATAATATATTATTGCAACAGTCCTATTAATCAGATTTGAAACTGTCTCATTGATATTTGTTCCTCAATAAAATAAAATAAAATAAACCAAAAAAAGCTAAAACTGCCAAAAAAAAAAAAAAAAAAGAAACAAACAAACTGTCTCATTTCTGTTTCTCAATAAAATTAATTTTTTAAAAAAAGGTTAAAAAGAAGTCAGGAGAAAGGAGAAAAACCCCACAAGGAATTCAGAAAGGAAGTAACTTATTTCAAAATAAAGTTACATTTGCATGAAGTACAACAGGCAATCCACAAAGGCTCGGCAGCAACAGAGCATCAGGAGCACAAGCGAGGACCATTCTGGTGACCAAAGACGCTGTCACACAGTGGCCGGGATGGACTCAGGCTGGGCTGGGGCAGGGCGTTCATGGGGCTGCTGTAGCCCTGCAGGGGTCCTGAGCCTCCCGAGGCTGCAATAGTGGCCAGGGCTCCCTGCAGGCTGTCTTCAGAGGAAGCCACGTTGAGATGGGGCAGATGGTGGAGCCGGGAGAGATGCGCGTGGGGCCAGGGCTGGCACCTAGCCTAGAGCCCCAGTGCCTTCGAAGAGACAAGGGAATAAGCACAGAGTATGTTAGAAGATGAGAGTGAACCATCAAGATGGCCTTAAAGTGGTTTCTTAATCAGAAGTTTTACATACATTTTTAAATGCAATTTTTCGTCAATTTTAATTATTTCACCGTTATCCCACATTTTGCTAGATCTCAGGAAAATTAAGAAAGTGTTCTTGATATTACTAGGAAAAAAATAATATTACAAAGACCTCATGTGTGTGGTATTTTTGAAACAGGGTCTTGCTGTATAGTTGAGGTGGCCTCGAACTCCAAGTGCAGGGATTACAGGCATATACCACCCCAGCTGCGCAGCGCCTCCTTAGCCAAACACAAGCGGGGTTCCGCACACAGATCTGTCAGCCAGACTACTTGTGACTCCACAGGCAGACTCCAGGGCCTGTGTGGTGTGGAACGGTAGCATCGTCTGTACTTTACCACATGATGGAATCGATGCTGTCCACTGATTTTGATCTGCAGTCAGGTTTTTATTGGCTTTTTAAAAGCCATCCACTAAAGGCTATGGGACATGAGTGGAAACCTCTTACTACATTCCCTATACTTCCATCCTGCATCCAACAGTTTGGATAGTGCTCTTTTCCTAGGTAAGGATCCGGGTCCTGGGCTGTATGTGGTCTCTGCCATTGGTCGGCAGAGCACTGGTGGCTGAGACATGCCACTTGCTGACCTGAGTGTTGTCCCTCCTTAAAGTTCCACTTTCTGCTGGTTGACCAGCACTTTCTGCTCCAAGCATGCTGTCTAATCCCAAACTACATCAGGAAATACCTTTACTTGCTCTTACTTGATAGCACCCTCTTTTTTTTTCTGAGATAGGATCTTTCTGTGTAGTTCAGACTGGCCTTGAACTCAAAACAATCCTCCACCTCTGCCACCTGAGAGCTAAGATTATATGTATGCACCAAGCCTGGGCAACTCACTATTCTTACAGATTTTTCTCTTCCTCCACTGCCTCACCGTCCTGGAAAAGCAGCAGGGTTCACCCTATAGCTTCCTGGGTCCCAGGCCAAGGGTTCCCACTTGAAGTAGCGACAAGCCACAGGAAACCTGCCCACACTAACTCCTGGGACCAGCAGAGTCTGATGGTGACACAGCCAGTCCTGAGGTTCAGTCCCAGTGTCACTGGCTCGGGGGCCTGGCCCTAGCTCAGTCCTTTAAGTGGCTGCCTCCACAAAGCTGTCAGCCTCAGGTTGCTGGAGTTCAAACCTCACAACTCTCCCACTGGCCAAAAGTGCCCTGAAGGCATTCGAGGAACAAAAAAAAAAAAAAAAATCCTTATTCCAGTGTCGCTGGCTCATTTCCAGTAATCATTCTTGAAGCCTCTTACCCAGCTGTTTGGTAGTTTAAGGACATCAACTGTATCCATTACTTTCTTACGTACCTTAATCTAGGTCCTCGGAGGAGCTATCTATGTCAAGGATGGCATTTTCTTCCTAGGCATGAAAAGTGTAAAATTACATAAGGCTTCCAAATCTCCTACTTAGCCCAAACCAGAGATTCTCAACCTTTGCCAAACCCTGCATTGTTAAGGAGCCCTCTAGTGCTGGCTTGCGGTTACCAACAGTCGTTTTCCAGCTCACTTGGGGAATGAAGGCGAAAGGCAACAAATGCAAAGCTGGTGAACTGTCTCAAGCATTGGCCAAAAAGGCAAATGCCGCTGCTCCTTCCTTTGTACCTGTTTATCTTCCAAGATCTCTTGCCCATAAGATGAAGCAAACAGAAATCCCTGCTTCCCTTTTCTCTAGGTAGCAGGGAGACTTAGGAGTTAGCTAAGAATTTGGAGGTTTTCTAAGCTCCGGGATGCTTCTAAACAGGCTGAGAATTCCTGGTGTTACCAGACATAATTTGATCTTCAAGGCTTTTAGGGCTAGTACAGTACTTTAGACAGAAGAAAACAAGGATTCCATTTCACTCAAAACTCCTGATGATTAGTAAGGGAGAAACGATCACGTCTGTTGCCGCAGCACTGGAATATGCAGACAACGGACAGTTCTCAAGATGAACATTTTAGCAAATACACTTCTAAAATTACTTGATGGGTAATTAAAATCCTGATTACTCTATCAACAAAACTCATATAAGTAAAATACAACCCGAAGACAAATCCCCTTTTGCTGCTGGAGTCAGCTGTGCTTTGGTGCAGTGTCCCAGCGCAGCAGAGCTGGCCTCAAGCCTCCAGCACTGCGGAAGCCGACTCGACTCAGACCAAAGCGCCTCCTCTCCAAGGCTGGTCTGTAAGGTCATGGGTGCAGGGCAGGCTGAGAGGCATGCTGTGTTCGAGGCACTGGGGACGGGCTCAGCCAAGACTCTCTGAGGCAGGGTCAGGCCTCCAGGATTCGCCGGGTTCGAGCCTTGGGGTCCTACTGCATTTCCCTTGCCTCTGTGTGGCTCAGAATGAGCTGGGTACTAGTGCGGCTGCACCCGCACAGATCCAGAGGGCGGGGCCAGCACTCCACAAACTGCCTGCTCGCTCATTTCTGCATGGGAATGGAACAGTGAACCTGACCACAATGTTCTTGTTGGACATCATTCTACCCCAGGCACCTGGACAGAGACCTCTGTCGCTGCAGAAGGCCCCATGCAGTGCTCTGGGCTTCCAGGAAGTGCTGCACAGGGCTGGGACTCCACAGTAAGCTTCCTCTGAAGGCCTGGGGCAGGGGAGGGTGTGGCTGGCAACACTGCCATCTACCTGGCTGCTCCTGGGCTGGAAGTCACAAATTTCACACGCGGGACGAAGCAAGCACACAAGTGGCTTTATTTTTTAATAAGAACGGGAATCATTATCGCTGTAGTGAATAAAAATTCATGAGTCAGAATAGCATGCAGTTCTTTATTGTTTTCTGAATCTATGTGTCCACTTAACCCCTCAGCATTAATGCCACAACTCTACAAACAATGGAATCACCCATGACAGCGAGCTGCACTACTCACCCACAAACGGATAAGATGGCCAAAAAGGAGCCAGAAATAGTAATCACACAAGTAAGTCAGCACTGTGGACATTAACATGTGACCACCTCGCTCATGAGTCCGCAGCATCTGCCCTTTCAATGCTTAAAGTATTTGTTAAAGATCATGCAAAATACACTTTATGGAAATATTCATTACACTCAAACACACGGCAAAGAAACAGTGACAAGCAGGACTCAGCATGGCGACTAGCCACAGGGGGTTTAATCTGTGCAGTGGTACCTCTGTTCACAAACTTTTTTGCTCTGTAACTTTTGAAAAGATGGCTGTATTCATGTTCGTATGGGAAAGAAGGCTGAGGTCGTGTTGTCACCTGATGCAGAGGTTGCAATCAGAAGGACATTTTGCCAAATGCCATTTGTGAACCAGGGCCCTGCTGTGCATTACGAGCCCAGTAAGAGATTAACATCACACAAGTAACACTAATGCTAGGTCACCACACACCTGTGACGTCACTGTCTACACCCTACCCACCCTTTTCATGCATGGCCAGAGTTAATTCCACATCAGCAAGTCAGGCCAAAATGAGAAACTTCACCCAGGGCCACCAGATGCCCCTGGGCGCCGGTGCCGGCCTAGCACATCCACATGAGCACTCCCTCAAGCATCGCATTTATGGTTTCTCTAGTTTTCTCTTCTTCCTCTTGGTTTTTACATAATTAATTTTTTGATTTTAAACACTTTATAATATTCCTCCAGAATTACAGTGCCAGTGTACGAGCAGAAGAGAGAGGCAAAGATGATGGTATAGAAGATGATGCTTTGTTCCCCTAGTCAGATGTTTCCTGGCCGTCCGGCAGCTGCTGCCCGCATTCCTGGTAGGGTGCTACCCACACACGTTCACCTCAGGAGCACTTTCTGCGTGTTTGCTTCCCACATCTCCTGATGTCCCCAGGGGACTCTCACTGCTCAGGTCACCAAGAGAGGCCAGGCACACAGGACGAGAGTCCAGGGCTGGCTCTGGTCAGCTGGGTGGTGCTGGAGTGCAGGCCAGGACTCAGGGGGGCTCAGGCTGTGGGCGACAGCCGTCCTTCCATGTGCTCTTCTGACAGCGCAGAGGCCCGGGAACACCGCCTGGGTGCTGCTGGCTTGCTTCCTCACTTCAGGGGTGCCAGAGACTGAACCCGGGGCCTTCACACTGCACCCTTCTTTATTTTGAGACAGGGCTGGCTAAGTTGGTTGGGCTGAGCTTCAACTTTCAATCCTCCTGCTTCAGCCTCCCCAAGTGCTGGAATTACTGGCATGTGCTACCAGGCCCAGTTTTTCTGTCAATTTTTAAAACCTTCATCATTATATATTTTCTACTTTAACACATCTTTGATAAGCAATTATTCTATTAGAATGAACTCAGGTCTCTAACTTACTAAGCATCTACTCCAGATCTTGTGCCTTTCCCCCTACATGAAAGCCCTTACGGGGAAAAAAGCGGCTTGTGCTTCATCCGGTATCAGGTCTTCCCTTCAGTGTCTGATGAAGGCATGTTCTGCGAAGGGGATCCCAGTTCTGTTTGCAAGTGAAGCCCTTCTGGTGTTTCTACACTGGCTTTCTACTCAGAACTCATCTCACAAACTCTGAATGTGCTGCAGGAGAAAGAAAGGTCTAAGAAGAGCAGCGCGGGCCAGGTGGCTGGTGACCTCGACTCCAAGCTGCTATCCCAGAAGAAGCATGTACAGTGACAATGTGGATGGCACTGGCTCACAGGATGCTCTCTCTCTCTTCTCCAAAGCCTGCGCTGTCAGGTGGGGCTCCTGTGTGCAGCTCTGAGGGCTCCTTGGAGAGCCGGGTGTAGCTGGTGCGCTGGCCCCGCTTATGTGGCAGGCTCTTGAGATTCTCATTCTGCAGCACAGTGGCGTTGGGGTTGGGGCCAGGCCCAGGCCTGAGCAGGGCCTGCGAAGTCTCCCGTGCCCCCTCTGTGTCGTCAAAGCCCTGGCTGGCCCTGTTGGCGGGTGCAGAGTTGTTGTTGAGTGTGACTGTGCTGGGGGTGCGGTTGAGGTTGTAGGCTTTGGGGCAGGTGGGCCAGCCCTCCTCAGGGCTGCTGGCGAGGAGACTGCACTCAGAAGGGCTCTTCTTGTCCTCCGAGCAGATGGACATGCGTGCAAGCACAGGGTCCTGCAGGCCGCTCAGGCTGTGTGGCAGCCCCCGCTGGGCGCCAAGGCCATCATCCTCCAGCTCAATGAGGTTGGCCTTCTCCAGCTGTGCACTGTCAGCTGCCTCATTGTGCAGGGAGTGGTTGGGTGAGCTCTCACTGGAGCGCACACCGGAGTCCGACGAGTCCTTCTTGTCCAATAGCGCATCCGATAGGTACTCCTTGGCCTTGATGAAGGTCCGGATGGGCTCAGTGCTGTGCTCTGGGGACTTGGCTGCCCGCTCGGCTTTGCCATCGGTCTTCTTGTCCTTGTCATCTCTGAGCAGCGGCGTGTTGTCCGACTCTTCGGGCCCAGACTCATCCTCGTCACTGGGCAGCTTCTGGTAGCGCAGCCCGCCACCCTTCAGCTTCAGGTCTGTCTGGAAAAGGCTGGGCCTCTCGGAGCTCTTCCTGCCGGGGAGCAACTTGCTGCCCGACTGGTCGGACTTCTCATCCTCCTCTGTGATGGGGTCCAGGGGTGACGCATCACTTGTGGACACACCCGAGGACGAGTAGTCCAGCACATCTGCCCTCTTCATCAGGAGCGATTTCCGCCCCTCATCCTGCTTTGGCTCGCTCTCCTTGCCCCGCTCCTGCTCCAGGCTGGGGTGGCTACTGCCCCCTGATGGGCTCTGCCCCACATAGTAGGCGCTATGTGGGGAGGAGCGGCCACTGACGCTGGCACTGGCTGGCCCTGCGCCCCCTTCCAGCTGGGACATCTGCGCAATGTACTCCCGATAGGCATCCCGGTACTCAGCCTGCACCTTGTCTGTGAGCTTGGAGATCTCTATGCTGGAGTCCTGGGAGTTAAGACTTGAAAGACTTGGGGTTCTGCGAGTTTGCGACTGCAAAGATAGGAAACAAAGGTGAGAAGATCAGTTTAGGAAACACACACACACACATACACACACACACACACACACACACACACATATTTAAGGGTCATCACAATACCAAGCTCTTTTAAAGGAATTCTACCTGACATGCGTTAACAAAAGTGTGAATTAAAGGCTGGTCAGATAGCTCAGTGAACTAAAGCGCCTGCTTATGTAGGCACAGGGACCAGGGTTTGACCCCAACCATGCCAGTGCCAGCTCTGCCCCCAGGGTGCACTGAGATGACAAATAAGCCTGGGCATGGTGGCGCATGCCTGTAATCCCAGCACTAGGGAGGCTGAAAACAGGAGGATCACTACAATCCAATCTGTGTAGTGAGACCCTGTAGACCCTGTACTAAAATACATTAAAATTTTTTTTAACTTAAAAAAATTAAAAATAAATAAAGCAGTTCTTTAAAAAAGTGTGAATTAGTAATTCACTAATTCTGTTCCCAGGAAGCTTGACAAAATTTTAAAATTAGTTTACTGTTAATGTTTAAAAGTAGAATTAGAGATCATATTAGCTAATCTTAGCACTTGCCTTTGTAACTTCAACCCTTTGAATTTATTTAAGGCAAGGTTACCTTTTCTAAAAATCCCTCTTAGAGGAGACATGAACCATAAGAGCTAACACAAAACACTTGACTCCAAGGTGTGACAAGGTCTTTCTCAACTTGTTTGGCCTGACATTTCCTTCAAGTCTCAATTTAGAGGAAGAAGATGTACTCAGTGACCCAAGACAAAGGAGGAGCAGAAGGAAAGGAAAATGGGAGAAGGGAGTGAGGTGGAGGAGCAGGACAGAAGTCAGTGCAGCGAGAGAAGAAAGCAGCTTGCTTTTCTCTTTCTTTCCTTCCTTCCTCCCGCTTCCCTCTTCCCAGGCTGGTCTCCAACTTGAAAGGCTCCTCCTGCCTCAGCCTCTCGAGTGCTGGGATTACAGGTGTGCACCGCCGCACCCAGGAGGAAGCGGGTTTCTAACAAGCAGCATGGCAGGAAGCAGGGGGCCAGCAATGGGCTCTGCTACCAGAGAGTCACAGGGCTCTGAAAGGGCTACAGGTGGGTGGCACCCCCACAGATTCCAGGAAACAGCACTAGCTATCTCCTGTGAACACAGACATTAAACAGAAGGCCAAACAATCTCACCTGCATTTGATTTTGGTTTGGAAAACAGAAAAATGACATTTTCATAACAAGGTTATTTATATTAACATGAATTTCTTTTGAATACACTAATAAATGTAAGATTTATTTTTCTTAAAGATTTCCATTTGTGCCATGTTCCCTGGGATCCCCGGTAATGCTGAGGTGCAGGGGCATTGAGCCTCTGGGGCATGGCAGGTGGGGGTCCCTAAGAGACCCTGAGGGGCTCCTCTGGAAAGCAGGGAATAGCAGGCCACCCAGACAGAGGTGCCAAAGGACCAGCAATGCGCTGGGTGTGCTTCCCAGTGGAGGCACGGCAGGATGAGGCTGCCGAGGGAGAAGCAGACTTCCTGGGAGAGGCATCCAGCGAGTATGGGCTGCAGCTCCCTTTCTCACCTTAGTCAACAGTATGAAGAGACCTGCAGAGCTGCAGGCCATACTCTCCGTTAACTCACTTGTCTTTGCAGCAACTCTGTGCCTCTCTCTCCCGCCCACACCCCAGGGCCACTGGCTCGCCTCTCCTTTTCTCTGCTCAACCACCAGCCCTGCCCTGATAGAGAGACCCTGCTGGCTCCTCACAAAGCATCTGGAGCCCATACTCCCAGGGAGTTAACCACGCCAGCCCACATAACCGAAGGAGTGTGTACATACCTGCCAGCTCAGATTGCTGTGCCTCGGGGCCCCTTCCTCCAGGCCCAGTGTGTTGAGCTCCTCAAAGCTGAAGTTGAGCGTGTACGGTGCCTGGCCGGAGAGCTCCGTGTGTGGTAACTCAGTGTGCGAGGCCCGGCGGGCAGCCTCCGCGTGAGCAACAGCATTACTGGTGTTCTCAGCGAGGAAGCGGGGGTCCTCAGGGACCACCTGGTTCTCTGCGTTTCTCATTTCTAGTATCTACAAAGGAGAAAAAAGATTACATCTACACTGCTGAATCACACATTAGAAGCTTCAGAAAGAGTTTTTGAGGTAGGGTATGCAGATGTACAACTATAATCCCAGCACTTGTGAGGCTGAAGTGGGAGGATCCCCGAGCTACATGGTGGGATCCAGGCTAGCCTGAACTATATAGAGAGACCTCATCTCTAAAATAAATAAATGAATACACATTTAAAAAGAAGAAATAGTTGGGGTTTTTTGTTGTTGTCTTTTTGAGACAGGGTCTCGCTATTCTGTTCAGGCTGGCCTTGAGCTCACTTCGTAGGCCAGGCTGGTCTTGAACCCACAATGATCCTCCTGTCTGAGCCTCCCAAGTGCTGTAATAAAAGGCATAGGTTATTATGCCCAGCCCTAAGAAATAGTTTTTGGAG